ACTGATACCAGGGGCTGAACATCGGGCCTTTATGCTGAGCTAATCCCATTCCTTTTATCTTTTATTTTGAAACAGGGTCTTTCTAAATTGCCCAGGCTGGGCTCATACTTACAGTTCTCCTGCTCAGCCTCCCAGACTGTTGGGATTACAGGCCTGTACTCTCATATAGACAGCACAACTGGAGGCTACAGGTATACTCACCTGAACCTAGGCGACACCCCAGGGCCAACCATACACCCTGCACCAGAGCTTACTACAGGGTGGCTGAGATAAGAGAAGCAAAGACCCTAAGCCCACACTGGAAAATTCTAAACCAAGATGCATGTGCACTAGACCTCCCTGCTTGACCCACACTAAGTGTTCTTCCCTGGAGCTCACTCAAAAGTTCATGCATACGGACTGCATCTTATACATACAATTATAACCGAGTGAATTATGGTAGCTAGTACGACTCAGCATCCTGTCAATCATTCTGTCAGTCATGCTCTGGAAGACCCGAGGGAGGCACTTTCAAGCAGATGGGATATTTAAACCTATACATCCTATGCACTCCATGGCTCATGCCATTTGCCTTTTTCCAGCAGGAGCCCTCTTAACCTAGAGTGTACTATTTTATTGCTTAATAAACTTTGCTGCTATCTCGTTACTGCTGTGTGCTATGTCCAGTTCTTTGTTCGTTATACATAAGAATCTGGGAACCCGTCCCCAGACCCCTTGGCCATGGTAACCCTACCACACCTGGCTTGAATGTGTAGTTTTAAATCCTACCTAATAAACCTCTTTATGTCTTTTACTGACAGATCCTGAAAATTCTGTTTCTGTGATGAAACGGCCCACCCCATGTGTGGTGTGATACAAGGTTCCCTATCTCCACTTTGAGGAGCTGCCTCAGATCCTGTCCAGTAATACAGCAAATTAGTAAAACTATTATCATTGGTCCTAAATGTATTACCATTGTTCCAAATGAAGATTTCAGTGTTTCTGTCTTGTTAAAATCAGGAACCATGAGATAATAATCCAGAGAAATTCATGAAGTAAAAGGCAATATTTCTTTTTTTGGTCTTTTTAAGACAAGGTCTCACTATGCAGTTCAGGCAGGCAGGCTGGCCTCGAACTTGCAACGATCCTCCTGCCTCAGCCTCCCAAGTGCTGCCACCCAGCCTGGCTAACTAATTTTTTGGGTATTTTTTTTTTTTGGTACTGGGAATCAAACTCAGGATCTTGTGTTTGCCAGGCAAGGTGCTTGTGCCACTGAGCTATATCCCCTGCCCAAGGAAATATTTCCTTTAGGGTTCCCACACCAATGTTGTCTTAAGATCTCACCCAGTGTAAAGTTACCCATTTATGTGGCCTAACATTTTCAAAATGGAACTCTGGGGTTATTGTTTTTATGTCTCTCTCTCTCTCTCTCCCTCCCTCCCTCCCTTCCTCCTCCTTCTTTTTCTTTTATGGTGCTGGGGATGAAACTCAGGGCCTCACACCCAGGCCCTTTCTATTTTTTATTTTGAGACAGGGCCTTGCTAAGTTGTCCTATCCATTCAAGAAAAAGTAGACGAAGGTGGAGATTTAAAGTCGTTAAGGAAACAAGATATTTTATAAAAATAAACAAAAGCTGTCATTCTTATTGCTGACTCTATTGTTTAAAGTTTTTGCAGTGGGTGGGAGCAGAAAGATTTAAGTGTAGGGAAGGAAAAGGTTTTGCCCTTTTCCTCAAAGCAAGACTACTTTATTGTAGTTCACTCTGAGCTGTTATCTCTGTTTCACTAGAAGACTCCATTATCACACCACACTGAGGAAACAGATACTGCCCTCCTGAACCCTGTAAAAAGCCTAACAGATGTAGCCCTTCAGGACTGACACATCAGGAAAGAAAGTTTTTGTAGATGCCTCCTAGCAAGGTTAAAGAAAAGTACTTTAAAAAAAAAAATCCTGTGACGTGATAAGCTATTTTCAATATGGTTAATTTTCATGATGCACAAATGTGCTTTTCTTAATATTTCTGATTGGTAGGAACTCTATTTAAAGTGCTAGACTATCTGATATGTTTAAAAGGAGAGATCAAATAATAGGAGATAAATCCAATAATATAATCTTGCTGGGCTATTATTTTTATATTCCCGAACTTGCTGAAAGTTGCTCCAATTCACAATACCTAAAATTATAATTGCCTTGTATTAGGATTTTAAAGCTTTCTAAAAGGAAAAGATACATAATTTAATTTACATAGAATATTTACGCAAATACTCTGATGCTTATACAACTGTCACTCCAAATGTGAAAGTTATAGACTGGTTTGGGTGTTGGCATCAGAATGCTAGGAATAACCACATAGGTACATGATTTTATTTCAACATTATTTTAAGGGTGTGCCTAAGAAAATCACTATAAAAATAAAAATCTGCCATTTTCCTGTTGATCTTTTTTAATTTTTTGTGGTAGTGAGGACTGAACACAAGGCCTTAATACTGAGCTATAGCCCCAGCCCTCCTCTCTTTTCAAATTCTGAGACAATCAGGGCGTGGTGGCTCACGCCTGTAATCCCAGCAACCTCAGGAGGCTGAGGCCGGAGGATCACTGCTAGTTAGAGACCAGCCTGGGCTACAAAGTGAGCTCAAGGCCAGCTTGAACTGCATAGCGAGACCCTGTCTCAAAAAGACAAAAAAGAAAAAAAAAAAAAAATTCTGAGACAGTCTCACTAAATTGCTAAATTGGCCAGGCTAGGCTCAAATATGAAATCTTCCTTCTTCATCTGCCCAGAGTGCTGGAATTAAAGGATATATTCCACCAGGCCCAACTGCTTGTTGATATCTTAAATTTTTCAAACTGTAGATGAAATTTTTAACACGAGAAGTTTTATTGAAGACTATAAAATACAGAAACACTAGATTCTGATCTTCCAGCATCTTCCAGGACCTTCGTAATACTGCCCTATTCTTGCTATCCAAAAAAAATTTTTTTTAAAATTTAAAAATACAAATTCCAGAAACAAAATAACAAATAAACCCACTGCTAAACATTTTTCTCATGGTGTTAAGCCTTACCCTAACTATTTTTCTAAATTTTACATTTCTACCTTCTCAAGAATGAGTTGTATTTTTCAAAACTGATTAATATTTGTGAGAGGTGGACATAACTTTCTTTTGGTTTTAGAAACCAAAAACCACATATCTTACTCAAACTCAGAGAAAATATACATTTGTTCATTAAAGCTTACCTGCTTCAGATATTTGTTCTCTTCATACATTAGTATAGTAAACCAATGTTTGATCCATACTGCAAAAACTATGCAAAATAAGAAAACTCCTAATCCCCTAGAGAAACCTCAAGGCAAAAACAAAAGCCTATGCTACAAAATAAAACCAAACTCCAGAGGCTCTGGAGCAATGGAGACAGCTTAGATGAATAAGCACCACAGAATGAAGAAGAAACATTTTTGTACAAATATATACAAGAATAATCCAAAAAGGCGCATGAAACACTCACTTTCCTACAGAAATAACGATCTGGTCACATAACCCCTAAAACAAGCGTGTGTGTGCTGCAGGGTAGATTTTAATGAACAGACTGCAATTCTCCCCTCTATTTACCCATTTTATCAGATTCTTACTTGGGGGCTCTCTTTTCCTTTTCATGGCATAAACCTTTGATCACAGCCGCCCCCCACAATTTCTACAGAAGATAAGCTTAGTGTGCCGTGGGTCTTTCTTTGTAAAGCTGCCATCTCCCTTTCCACCCTAACATGAGGACTAACTTCAAAACCTAGGCAGTCCCTTTATGATTTGAGTTATACTAAAACGAACTTTTTAGCAGGGAGACTTCAGGCTATAAACTTTATAAGTTGGTCCTATTAAACAATGATCTCAAAGCAGGAGTTTTTCAAATGGCATGAATCAAACACCTGCAAATCCTAACAGACAACAGTTTACATTCATCCCAAAGTCTGAGATTAAGAAACTACTAGCTGGTGTGCAAGTAGTTTCAACACTGAAGTCTGAATAAATTTGCTGCATAGACATTAAATATTTTGTTTAAGTATTATACGCTAAATCTTTTTCCTGCGTATCAGGAGAGAAATGGAGAAAGCAGAAACAACAGGCAAGAGAAGAAACAGTCTAGGTAACAACCTTGTGACATCTATACCATCTGGAACAAGGGGAGGAATTTCAGCATGGATTTCAAAAATACTTGGAAGTTGGTTTCTAAACATTCACCTCTACTTGGCATAAACAGTTTTTTTCTATAGAAGATATCTGACTCCTACAAAGAAGGAAGAAACCCAGAAAAAAAAATGGGTGGCCACTTGTGTGATAAAATGGCCAGTATTACAATATTACAGTCATTTATTTTAATGACATAATAGATGCCCTATAGCCATAAAGAAATTATCACTTTACCTTGCATTATGAATCTTTACCACACAGAAGAACTCCCTGAGAAATTAAAAAACTTTAATACTAGTTATTTCCAAAGATACCTTAAGCACAGTTTAGGTATTCAAGAAAATAAAGACCCTTGCTACCAGAAGCTCTTATCTACTGATTTTTAGGCTTACTGCACAATAATTTAAACACAAATGGGCTATTTCAGTAAACCTCAATGTCACTTGCTCAAATATTCTGTTAATTGTGGTTTTTAAAATTAAAAACAACTTGCTAACACAAGTACAAACTTTCCTAATTTTTACTACAAAAGTTACAGTTACTGAGTTTAGCTGATACAGCACTTCCTTAGGATTACTTAATTCTCCCATAGGCAGTTTACAGATAAATAACCTCATCTTATGGTTTATATCTTGCTGTCCCCCAAGAGCTTTATGCCCTCCAAGGAGGGGCTTTTGGAAGAAGACTGGGCTTTGGGGATGCAATAGCTGATTTAGTATTATGAGGTGGGGGTCTGGTCACTGGGGGCATGTCCTAGAAGGGTATTATCTCCCATGCCAGCTTCTCCCTTCACTCTCTTCTTCCTGGCTGCCATGAAGTGAGCAACTTTCCTTCACACAGGGCCTTCTGCCTCGCCACTGACCGCAAGGACTGCCACTTCTAAAGAATGAGCCAAAAGAAACTTCACCTCTGTTAAAGTTGTGGGTGTCCAGTATTTTGTCCTAGCTACAAGGGAAGTGATTAAGGTACCTCACAACCTTTTTAACTATCACTCAAACTTAATATCATTAAGCAACCAGGTTTATCAACTATACAATGGAAAAGAAGAAGCAACAGTATCACAAGGCAAAAAAAAAGCTTTGAAGGAAAAACCTTTCCTCTGTATTTTCACTGCATTTTCTAAGCCAGCGAGAAGAGCCATGATGATATTGGTTATTTAATCAATAAAGGTGTGTTGAACTGTCAATTAATATATAAGTTTAATGGCCTTATTAAATTTCTTAGCAAGAAGCTTAAGCTATTGCTTTCTTCTCTGCTGCTTTTCAATCATATACAGTCATCATGAGAAGTTCAAATCTACAGTCTAAACTGCGATGCACAGGGCACAGAGGTAATCAGGAGCATCCCCCTTTCTTAATCATCTTTTCCAATTCAAGAGTGCTCTCCAAGTGTATGAATGGCTCAGACATTACGACAAATGATGTAAACTACTCTTACACATACTGTTTCTATACTTACCTTTGAAAATACTATACTCTAAAATTCCTCTAATAAGCCCTCTAGAAAACTATTTTTCTCTTGAGACAGGTTTTCTTGGCAAAAAGTTGAATCTAATAAATTGTCAACCAAAATGAGAGTCCCATCCCAAATCACAGGTGGATATATTACTGCATTAGTTTCATAAAACTTGCAAGGCCCTATATTTTGCAAGTAGGCTCATTTACTGAACATATAAATTTTGCCAAATTTCACTTCAAATTTTTCAAATTTTGACAAATTTAATGTAGAAACTGGTGAGATAACTATATGATATTAATTAGCCTTTATATTTCATTAGGTCCTGAGGAAAAATCAGTATGGCTTATATTTTGAAAAACATATGTAGATAATATTTATATAACAGCTATATGGTGACTGTGTTTCTTTAGTTTACTTTTATTACAAAGACTATAGTGCTGAACCCTAATTTATAAATGACTTTAGTTGAATATGAGCATTAAAACCCTGCACAATCTTAATACTCTAAGTTCCAAAAGTCACTTAATTTCAGAAAATGTAACCATATTTGTTTGTGGAATATATTATTAAGAATTATTAAAGAATGAGTATGCTCACAAATTTTAAGTGAAAACGTTTATATTTTGTGTTTTGTTTTGTTTTGTTTTTTTCCAGTACCAGGAATCAAACTCACAACCTTGCGCTTGCCAGGCAGGTGCTGCGCCACTGAGCTAAATCCCCAGCCCCTATATTTTGGTTTTACAGTATTAACTCCCCAGTCTGGGTTATTGCTTGACACTGTTTATAAAAGACAGTGTTATTTATGTTATTAAAAAAAGAACTCTCAAAGGCCATTCACATGATTACTTTAGACTTATTTACAGGTTTATGCTAGAATTTTGAAGAATTTCTGGAGTAGTTCAAGTATGAACTAGCTTGACAGTTTGAAGCTTCTGGAGGTCACAGTTATTGAGGAGTTCATCTGTTTGCAGGCTCTTCCACCAGGAACCCCGACAGGGCCCAGGGGAGATGGGGAGAGTATGGAGAGAGGGCCCCCTAATCACTTCCACTCGTGCAGCAGCTGGGAGGGGAGTAGCAGCCACCGTGAAATCCTCCTAAAACTTTCTCTTACAGAATGTAAGGTTAATCTGCAAAGTGTGTATGTGTGTGTGTGTGTGTGTGTGTGTGTGTGTGTATGTGTTTAGTAGGTGGATATTAGCTTGCTTAAAGGCACAGATAAAATACCATGGTGGGAATGGGAAGTGGGGAGGTAACTTATTCTCACCTAAATTTAATTTTAAAAGCCTTCCTCTGTCAGAGGGACATCTTTAGTTCCACACAGATTGAGCTGAGAACACTGCTAATAGGTAGATAGGATACCTAGTACAGCTGGGGAAAGAAAAAGGGAGATGGGTTAGATTTACTCTGGAGCAGGAAAGGAAAGAAAAATATCTATCTTCTACAAAGTATATTCATTTGTCTAAATAGTTACAGCTACTTTGGCTTTAGGACATAAGTCTAAGTTTCACAGTCACAATTTAGTATGTCTATATTTTATTTATTTATAGTCTATAATAATGGCACCATTACCCCAGAGATAAACATATTTTTCTTAAAAAGCTAAAGTTTGAAAATTTAATTTGCTAGTTGTTTTATTTATTCCATTAGCAATACATTTCCAAATTTAAAATAATAAAATGTACATGACATATATTTTATTAACATTAAATTATCTAAATTTGAAATTAAAATATTAATTTTAGAATAACAAAACTGATATTAGTTATATTAAAGAATGGGCTTTATACCCTTCTGTTAATCTGCAATCACAGTGTTTTAATAAATGAGCTATCTACTATATCATGTGCTGCCAATTTACAGTTTACCAGTAAAAAAGCTAAATTTTTTTTCTCAGTATATGTTGACAAATAGAATGAACAGTTTAAAATAACTTCATTTATAGCATCTTATCTATTATTAAATAGGTCCCATCTTGAAATAAAGTATACAACCTCTTAACTTTTACACAATACTTGTATTCATGAGCATTATTTCAATTCTAGCTGGGAATACACTTAGCATTTTATTTTTCAAGCAGAAGTCTCAAAAAGTATTCTCTTTTCTGAAATATACTCTTGTGAAACTACAAAACAACACTGATAGTGTTGTATTTAAGCATGAGATTAGTTCACATATTATATAGAGGATTTTCCTGTTTGCTTTCTTACACTTTGTAAAAATGTAACATTCTGTATACCACCTTACTGTATCAGTGACCCTTGGGACTGATTCTCAAAAGGCAGAAGGAAAGAAGATGCCAAGAATTATTAAGTTTTCACTGGAGAATATTATTCCCTTAAGCTTAGGCTATCCGTGGAGTGGGGAGACATTATAGTTTTTATATTTGTGTCATGTTGAAATTATGAAATTTATGAGCTTGTTTAAAGACTTACACAATGATTCTTGCTATGCCTTTTCAATTTCTCCTGGAACTCCATAGTAACTATATTTATTTTTGTGCACATTTCTTTTTTTTTTTTTGGTTTTTTTTTTTTTTTTTTTTTT